CTTCCCCCCCCCCAGCTGCCCTCCCCTGCTGGCCATCTTGTGGCACCATCTTTTTTTTTTTTAGAGAATACTTTATTAGTTTCTGTAATTAATCCCATGTAGATTAAGACCTTACATATTTAATACAGTGCGTTACCCCTGTACAAATGGAAAAACATTATGTTGACCGTTTCCAGACCAATATGGCTGTTAATTTCTGTACAATGCCAACCCAACACAGTACAGCTGGGATAGTTTTTCCAAAGTTGACAGCACAGCTAAAGTTTCCAAAAATTCAAATTATATATATATGTATGTATATATATATTTATTTATATAAAAAGACCAATAGCAGTATGTTATGCATCAATAGCAGCAACAGCTTTTCCAGGTTCTGCAGTCATCTGAACAAAATTATAGACATCCAGCACACTCCAATAAAAAAAAAAAGTAAAAAACAAATCTCCAGAAATCAGCAAAGTTCTGTTACTGTTGTGGTACCTGGCACCATTTTTTTTTAAGCTTCTCCATCATCATCTGGAAAGAAAACATGCTAGGATAACGTCATTAAAAACAGCTCTGATAAAGCACGGTCACTGCTACGTATCATAAAGCAGGTACACCAATGGATGAGGACAGTGGGTGGGGAGTGAGGGAGGAGGGTGGGGTGGGAACTGGGTGGAGGGGAGTTACGGGGGGAAAAAAGAGGAACAACTGTAATAATCTGAACAATAAAGATTTTTTTAAAAAAGGGGAAAAATCGAAAAAAATAATAATACATTTGAAAATTTACATAAAATGAACAATTTCCCAGAAAAATATAATTCACTCAGATTCAAGAAAAAAATAAGCCCTGATCGGTTTGGCTCAGTGGATAGAGCGTCGACCTGGGGACTGAAGGGTCCCGGGTTCGATTCCAGTCAAGGGCATGTACCTTGGTTGCGGGCACATCCCCAGTAGGGGGTGTGCAGGAGGCAGCTAATCGATGTTTCTCTCTCATCGATGTTTCTGACTCTCTATCCCTCTCCCTTCCTCTCTGTAAAAAATCAATAAAATATATATTTTTTTAAAAAGAAAACCCTGAATATTCCCCCCAAAAAAGATATGTTTAACCCCTAACCCCCAGTGCCTCAGAGTATGACCTTATTTGGAAAATTGGTCTTTGAGGATGTAATTACTTAAGATGAGGTCATATAGGAGTAGAGTGGGCCCCTACTCCAATATGACTGGTGTCCTTACAAGAAAACAGCCACGTGAAGACACAGAAACACAGGGGGAGAAGGCCACATGAAGGTGGAGGCAGAGATTTGAGCGATGCAATACAAGCCAAGAAAAAAAGGGATCTCTAGCCATCACCAGAAGCTTGGAGTGAGGCATGGAACAAATTCTTCTTCAGAGCCGCCAGGAGGAACCAACCCTGCTGACACCTTGATTTCAGGCTTCTGATCTCAACAGCTGTGAGAGAATACATTTCTGTAGATTCAAACTGCCCAGATTATAGTTCTTTGTTATGGCAGCCCTAGGAAACAAACAACCAATAACTACTACAGTGATGGAAATGATAGTTTAAAATCTGCATGTGAGGCTGTACTCCCCCACCCCCCCCCCACACACACACACGCACGCACACACAGAGTGATCCATTTCAGCCTCCTCATCATATGGACAAGTAATCTGAGGCCCTGAGAGAGTTCCTGTACAGATTACCTAGCAGGTTGATGGCAGTGATAGACCCGGTAGTGATGGGTCGGATAGGTCCCAAGCACTCTAGTGACAACCCTATACTCTGAATTGGGACAATCAACCCCTGAACACTTTTCACAGGCTTGTTTTTCCTTTCCAGGTGCATCAAGGTGTTGTAAAAGTAATTCTCTACCCCAGTGAGAATATCTTCCGAATTCTCTTTTCTGATGAATCAGGCCAAATATAGTATCCACTGGAGCACAAGGACACCTATATTGACATATATGGCACCTAAAAAGTCTAGGATTTGGGCTGGGACGTGGTTTTACTAAGGCCTGCACTCTCTGCAGGGCTCTGCAAGGGGATCCCAAGGGACTGCTTGTGCCTTAACCATCTTCCAGTTACCCATCGGGAAACCTGGCTGTGATCTCCTTCTGTACGGAAGAGAGGCAGTTCACATATATCATTTTGGAAGACAGTGAAGAAGGGTGTGTTCGAGCCCTTATCAACAACACTGGCCATGCCACCATCTATGATGAATACAGAGAAATCTGGTAAGCTTAGGTCATGAGTCCCAAACACTTATCCCCATGAAGAAGCAGTGTGGTTAAGGCTTGACTCACTCATTTCTCTCTGTCTCTGTCTTTGTCTCTCTCTCTCTCTCCCACTCTCATTCTTACCCTCCCTCCCTCCCTCTTACTTTTGCTTGTGAATTCATTCATTGGACTCACACATGTTGGAATGGGGAGATGGGTACCATGATGGACCAGTAATACAGGTCCCCGACCTCAGACAAGGCATATTGTCCTTGTCCCACCAATGCTTTTCCCATGAGTGAAATGGCAGTCACAGACTTGGGGCAACCACTTCTATTGCTTCATCTCCTTTACTCCCCTTGAGAGTCAAACCTCATGAGAATTATCTTAGAAAGACCCAGGACCCCTCTATTCTGGGGCCTCAGCGAGGAGGGTGTGGTGAGCGCTCTGGAAACCCATGTATTATATTCAAAAATATAACTTCTAAATATTTCATTGTAACTGAACTTAGTTCTTAAGTTCCCTTTCTGGTAATGGTGGAAAACTTCACCTTACCAATTCAAGGTGGATTAGTCACTACAAAATTTTTGCCCATCTCTTTGGGGTACCGACTGTCTTTTCAGGTTTCCTGTTCCTGCTGCGTTCTAAGTGGACATGTAGTGGGAAGTGCATATTATCTTGGATCAGTGTTACATTTTCTTTCTTTCTTTTTGTTGTTGTTGTTGTTGTTGTTATTTTGTTAATCTTCATCCAAAGAGATTTTTCCTGTTTTTTTGTTTTGTTTTGTTTTTAGAGAAAGTGGAAGGGAGAGGGAGAGACAGAAAGAAACATTGATGTGAGAGAGAGACATTGATTGATTGCCTCCTGCATGCACCCAACCAGGGCTCAGGAACCTGCAACCAAGGTAGGTGCCCTTGACTAGAATTGAACCCAGCACCCTTCAGTCCACAACTTGATGCTCTATCTACTAAGCCAAACCAGCTAGGGCTTACACTTTCTTTCTTATTAATATTAACTTTTTTCTTATTAATTCTGCCCCCCCCCCCACGCCCTGCCCCCAGCCAAAAAAAAAAGACAGAAGGATTTTCATATTCCAAGCCTTGGTTTTTAAGAATATTTTCTCTGTAAGGGTTTTTTCGACATTAGCTGTCTACTTTGTTCTCAGAGGTGTCTGCCCTCCCTGAAGGTCCCTTAGTATAAAAATGATATCTGAAAGGTGGAAGAGGGTACTAGATACAAGAAGCACCAAGTAGTGGGGGCAAGAAACTTGGTTAAATTATCCCAAATGGCATCTGGCTGCATATAGGTGGGCCTCTTCTCTCTAATGACACTTATTTTTAGGGACAAAAGAGACTTTGGAGGAGTCTACTTTCATTTTCTTGATAAGAAAACTGAGCCTCAGAGAAGCTAATAAGTCACTCGCCCTAAACCATACATAAAATTATAGGCAAGAAATTTTATGGCATTTTGACTCAGCCTGAAATTAAGCATTTTTTTAAATTATCAAATAAGGTTTGCAAGAGAACCTACATCTTTTTTTAAATTATTTTTATCTTTATTGTTGATATTATTACAGATGTCCCTCTTTTTCCTCCCATTGCTCCCCTCCACCCAGTTCCCCCACCGCCCCAGGCCTTCACCACCCCATTGTCTGTGTCCATAGGTAATGCATATATTCATATAAGATCTTTGTTTAATCTCTTCCCACCTCCCCCACCCCCCTTTCCCTCTGAGAATCATCAGTCTGTTCCATTTCCATGCTTCTGATTCTATTTTATTCACCAGTTTATTCTGTTCACCAGATTTCTTATTCATTTATTTTGATTTTTAGATTCAGTTGTTGATAGGTATGTATTTATTACCATTTTGTTGTTCATATTTTTTTTATCTTTTTCTTCTTCCTCCTCTTCTTAATGAATACCCTTCAATGTTTCATAGAATACTGGTTTGGTGGTGATGAACTCCTTTAGCTTTTTCTTATCTGTGAAACTCTTTATCTGATCTTCAATTCTAAATTATAGCTTTGCTGGGTAATCTTGGTTGTAGTCTTTGCTATTCATCACTTTGAATATTTGAATATTTCTTGCCACTCCCTTCTGGCCTGCATAGTTTCTGTTGAGAAATCAGCTGACAGTCAGATGAGCATTCCATTGTAGGTAACTAACTGCTTTTCTCTTGCTGCTTTTAAGATTCTCTCTTTGTCTTTAGCCCTTGGCATTTTAATTATGATGTATCTTGGTGTGGGCTTCTTTGGGTTCCTCTTGTTTGGGACTCTCTGTACTTCCTAGACTTGTAAGTCTATTTCTTCCACCATATAGGGGAAGTTTTCTGTCATTATTTCTTCAAATAAGTTTTTAATATCTTGCTCTCTCTCTCCTTCTGGCATCCCCCATAATGCGAATGTTGGTATGTTTGAAGTTGTCCCAGAGGCTCCTTACACTATCTTCATATTTTTGGATTCTTTTTCCTTTTTGCTCTTCTGGTTGGGTGTTTTTTGCTTCCTCATATTTCAAATCATTGATTTGATTCTCAGAATCCTCTACTCTTCTGTTGAATCCCTGTATATTATTCTTTATTTCAGTCAGTGTATGCTTAATTTATGACTGGTCCTTTTCCATTTTTTTTTTTTTGGAGGTTTCTAGAAGATTCTTGAGTAACCTTATAACCATTGTTTTGAACTCTACATCTAGTACTTTGCTTTCTTCCAATTCTTTCATTTGTGACATGTTCCTTTGTCTCCAGATTTTAGCTGCTTCCCTGTGTTTTTCTATGTATTGGATAGAGCTGCTGTGTCTCCTTGCGTTGGTAGAGTGGCCTTGTGTAGTAGGTGTTCTGTGGTTCAGCCTTCTCAGTCACCTGAGCTGGGAGCTCTAGGTGCACCCCTTTGTGGGCTGTGAGCACAGTCTTGTTGTAGTTGAGACTTAATTGCTGTTGGTGTTACTCCAGGACAATTGGCTGTGAGGGACAGCTGCGACTACAGTGGAAGAACTGCTGTGCAGGAGACACCCTTAGGGAGCAGGACTTGCTTCAGTGGGGCTTTGGTGTTCACTTAGTCTGCCCCTTATGTGTGTTGCTTATGGATGTGTAGAGTTGCAATCTGGTATGGTCTGACACTGCCCACTGGGAGCACTGGCTCTTGGGGGTCCAGGGAAGTGCAAAGTCAGCCACTGCCTGGGGCCACCCAGGAGGAGCTACAGAGAGATCTGCAGATTCCTCCTCTTTGAATCGGGTTTGGAAGTACCCAGATGAGGCCTAACTATGAAGCAAGGCAGGCTGGTGCTGGTGCCCAGTCTTGAGCTTTTTATTGATAGGTTTGGGGCTCCCTGACCCAGCTGCAGCTTGTTTGAGAGATTTTAGACTGAGCAAGGACATATGCAACAGCCACTGCACCCAGCTTGGGAGGGGTTGTAAATTGGATGAGGCAGGGTCTTAGGGAATCACCAGGGCATAGCAAACAGAAATGGCTTCCAGTCAGCCCTGTGACTGGGGAGGTCCCAGCATAGAAACAATGATCCCTGTGAGCCCCTCTGTCTGGGAGAAAGCTGCCCCCTAATTCCTGCCTCGATTCCAGTTAGGCCAGTTTCCCTCTCATATGTGTCTTGATTCGCCCCTCCACCCTCAGATTCCCAGCAGGACCTTGCAAGCTTAGTTCATACTGCCAGACTTTTAAGAGGAACAGATGGGTCTCCAGCAGCCTCTGTGTCACTGAGCCCCAATCCACACTGGTTTATACAGCCTGTAGTTCTTGCTGCCCGTAGGGACTTCTTTTACCAGTTTTGGAAGGAACCCTGGGCTGGGGGTGTGCTCTGGGGCTGGGACCCATTGCCCCTCCAGGCGGCCTCTGCAGAGACAATCTCCCACCCAATTAAAAAAGTGGCCCACATGGGTGCCGGACCAGCCCATTCCACACCTCCGCACCTCCTACCGGTCTCAGTGTGCTTTCTTCTTTACATCTCTAGTTGTAGGACTTCCATTCAGCCAGCTTTCCAAAAGTTTTGGATGATGGTTGTTCTGTATTTTAGTTGTAATTTTGATGTGGTTGTGGGAGGCAGTGAGTACAGGCATTTACCTACGCCACCATCTTCAAATCCAAGAAACTACATCTTATCCCTGAATCTCAGCCCATCAAAACTCAGGGGGAAGGATGGTGCTCGGATTCAGATTCTGTCAGTCTGGGTAGGGCTGGAGGCCTGCACTCTGTAAGAGATTCCCAGGCGGTTGTGCAGGTCTCCAGGGTGTGGGGCCCAGGCCAGCATGCCTCCACTAGCCTTCAGAAATCAGCCAAGGCCCATAAGCTGGCAGCAGCTGCCTCATCTATCAGGCGTGACACCCCTCTAAAGACCGTAAGACAAAGACAGGAGACCCCAAAGGAAATACTTCCATCTCCTCATCAAAATCAACAACAGTGGATAGCCAAGCCATTGTGCTGACACCCAGACCTTTGCTGGGACCCCAGGAAAAACTCAACCTCACAAGGGAATGAGCCCAATGTCCCGTCTGAGGGACAGCAGTGACTAGTGGCTCAATTTCTGTCCCCCAGAATAGCCTGGCTTCCAGGCCTCAGGCACTAGCCTCGGAGCCATTTCTGGATTCAGGGACCCCGAACTCCCATCTCCCATCTCTCTCTGTGGGCCTTGCTGTCTTCTAGTCTTGAAGTTTTTTTCTGAAACTGCTAACCACTTCACCATTCATGGTTCTCAAGAGAGGAGATACACTGGCAGCTTTCACTTCTAATGCTGAGCTCCTGGTCACTGGAGAAAAGGGAGGCTGCCCCATGTTGAAAGTTGCTCGTTAGGTTCGGAGTGGGCCTCGTGAACCTCAGCAAAAGACCTCCACTCTTACCCACCCTGGCCTGGCCCCTCTGTCCACCCAAAGGCAGCCCCTGCCTTTCCCTCCTTGCTCTCCAGCTGCCCCCACAGCCGAGCACACACCCCCATAGTATCACTGTCATTTTTCTTGTCCTTCCATTTTGGTGCTGAAGGAGCAGGCCAGTAAGGAAAGGGAAGAGGTCCCCTCAGCAGGTCCTGGACCCTCTGCATACAGGCCTGGTGGGCCTCTCATCTCCCCCAGCAGCCCCTCCTCACTCAGCTGTCTGCAGTTGCCCAACATTTCTGTCCTGCCTCCCCTGAGGGCAATTGCATGTTATCTGAGTCATGCTCTAGTTTGGCTTAAACCAAAGCGAAGCAGCAGCATTTCAGGCCTCAGAGACTTGGATGAGAGAGGAACTGTCTCTGTGTATCCTACACACACACCCATCCCCCCAAAATGTCATTGCACAAGGCAGAATGGGCTCCCTGTCCCAAGCTGCTTCCCTCCCTAGGGGCAGCAGCACCAAAGGAAAATTCGATCCTGTGAGGAAAGGTCCCTGAGAGAATTCATTGTTAGAACTGCAGTCCCTTTGTCACAGGGAGATCGATTTTGTGGCAAAGACCCTCCGAGTCATTTGGGAACACAAAGCTGCTCAACCGGGGCCGTCCAAGCCTAATCATTGCTAGAAATGTCCACAGCTGCTCCCCAGGTCCCAGCCCCACCCCCTCACCCTCAGTGTGTGCCGAGCTCCTCCATTGCACCCCAGGTGCTGGAAAGGATTTAGAGCTAAGCTGTTTAAGGACTGAATCTTTCTTGGGTCATTTTTTATTTCCGTCTCCTCGGGAAAGGTAATGGCATAGTTGTAGTTTGCCGGTGTTTGGAAACTAAACCCCCGCATCGCTCACAACCTCCAGGCCCTGGACTTGAGGAATCTCAGACCGGACCTCCTGCCAGGCTTCAGGGTCCCCCACAGCGAGGGGCCCAGACCTGCCTGAACTCAGGGTTCCTGGTGGGTGAGTCTACACACTCCACAGCTTGGGGTCTTTATACCCCCTGAGGAGGAACCTCCAGATTTAGATATCTGGGGGTTCTAGACCCATTTTCCTGAGGAAGCCTCAGCCTAGAGCTGGGTGCCCAGGGCAGGGACAGACCTCTGACCCCTGGGGACAGGGAAGGCCTTGTGAGAGAACTGTGATAGGGGCCATCACAGGGCAGAGCTAGCAGGATCTGCTCCCCATGGGGTGGAAGAAAAGTCCCTCTCTGCCCTTTTCTCCATCGATAGTAATAAGGATATTCTAATGATGACCGAGTTATTGCTATGTACAGGCACTTCATCCTCACAGCAACCCTCTGAGTGAAGTAGCAGTATCATCTGCAATTGAAATTGAGGCATTAGGAGTAACTGGCCCTAGTGGCAGATCTAGGCTTTGAACTTGGAGATTCTGACTCCAGAGCCCAGATTTTTAACTCCTCACGTGCAAACAGCCTCTTGTCTACGTAAAGAGAAATGAGGTAGGCCAGGCCGGGCCCGAAGGTGAGAGACTTAGGACTTCTGCACTTTGTTTGCTGGGTAATGGGAAGCAACAGGAGAATCTTAGATTTGGAGTGACAAGGAGTTCTCCTGTTGGAGGTGAACAAGGCTGCCCTTAGCCGGCCTCTTGCTCTGAGCTGACCTGTGAGGCCACCAGACAGCCCGGAGGAAACCTGACAGGCGGTCTGAGTGATCCTGACTGCCCCACACCCACCTCCTCTGCTTCACCGGCTCTCAGATCCTCTGCCCTCTGCATTCAGTCCTCAAGAGAAGTTGCTGCCCCAACAGCACAGATTCCAGGGACAGCCGTGGTGGGAGTCTGAAAGCAGAAGCCGGGGAAGAGGCATATGGTCGGCTTCAAATGCCAAGAAAGGATGGCTCATAGACAAGAGGGCCTGGGCTGGTGAGGGAGAAGCGCATGCACCCTCACTCATCCAACACCTATTGACGTGGGTCCCAGGCACAGTGCTGGGGCAGGGACTCATTGGGAACCAAACGGACGTGGACCTTGCCCTGCGGGACCACGTTTTACATTTACATTTTAGTAAAGAAAACACAGACGACAGACAAGTGCGGGTGTTCTCATTATTCAGGATGGTTCTGTTCTATAAAGTCTCCATGAACACTGAGTAGTGAGCACTGGACTCATTGCTTGCGGGGAGTGTGTGTGTGTGTGTCACGTAGACAGAATCACAAACACGGGAAGAGCAGTGACACATCTGAGTCCCCGCGGAGGCTGCGTGAGGTGCTGCCTCCCGAGGATGGAGACGGGAGGCAGGGCTCGGTGGCTCAGGAGCCCCAGCTCTGGGGCCAGGTGGACTCCACCAGGATGGGTTGCTTTGAGGACTGAAGATTACCTTCACGAGAGATAGATACACAGTTCTCCTGGAACAACGGGCTCAGTATTCACTAAGTGTTCAAGGCGACTTTACAGAACCTAACACATACACAAATAACAAGAACCAACTACGTGTATTAGTCAATTATATGGAGGAAACTAGCAAGGAGCGAAGATGGAGAGTGACATAGGGAGCCAGAGGGCCAGGTCAGGAAGGGCCTCTGAGAAAATGATCCTTACGCAGGAGCCAGCTGTGCCAAGCAGGGTGGGAGGTCGGTTCCAGGCAGCGGAAACAGCACGGCAAAGCCCTGAGGAGGAAAAGAGCACGCAGCCCCTGGGACTGAAAGGAGCGCCTGGGAGTGGGGGCCCAAGCACAAGACAAGACTAGAGTCTGCACGGGAGGTTGAAGGCCTGCACCTCGTCTTGGGCTTGCCTTCCTGGTTGGAACTTCTCCCACCTGCCAAGACCCGTGGGAGCCTGTGGGCTGTTTGTGGGCAAAGGTTGAAGCAAGAAAGGGTGAGAGAGAGGGAGGGAGCAGGCCTGCATCGCCCCTCGCCCCAGGGCCAAGTGCCCAGCTGCCTGATGGGACTTCTCAATCTAGGTTGAGCCTGAGCCAAAACCTGGGCTACTACTTTGACAAAGACAAATCCCAGAAGGCCTGGAACTGGTGGAACCTGAACCTGCACGTCCACGCGCCCCCTGTCCGGGCTATCTCCTTAAACATCAACCAGTATATCAAGGTACAAGTCAAAAGCCAAAATGAGATCATCTTCCGCTTCGTCCACCAAACAAACCGCATTTCCTTAAACCTGGGCACCAAGTACAAGGTAAGGTCTCAACTCCCCATACCTCTGCCCACCTGCACGCAGGCCACGGCTGGCTCTTACTGGCCGTGCCATGGGACCCGGGCCATGTTCTGCATGACTCCAACCCATAGGAAAACAAGGCCACGATATCAACATGCCTCATCTGGTCTGACACTCACTACAACCCTGTCATCTGGCAGGGCCAGAAACAAAGGGGAAATGTGTGTCCCCAGCCCTACTCTCCTTCTCACACATGCTCATTTCCAAAGAAATAACTGCCTGGAAGGTCAAGGCCTCTGCCCAGTCCAGGCAGGAAGTCCCAAAGGAGAGTTCGTTTCCTCGGCTGCAAATGACCACAAGCTGCGGGATTTAAATCAACAGAAGTTTATTTTCTCACAGTTCTGGAGGCTAGAAGGTTAAAATCGAGGTGTCAGCTACCTCCAAAGGCTCTAAGGGAGAATCCTTCCTTGTCTCTCCCAGCTGCTTGGTTCCCGGCATTCCTTGGCCTGTGGCAGCCTCACTCCAGTCTCTGCGTCTGTCTTCACGTGGCCGCTCCTCCACGTCTCTCTGCACATCAACCTCCCTCTCCTTTCTCTTATAAGGACACCAGATATTGGAGTTAGGGCCCACCCCAAGTCCTCATCCACGGTCCTTAACTTGATTACATTGGCAAAGATCCTATTTCCAAATACGGTTACATTCACAAGTTACTGGCCATGTCTTTTGGGGGCCACTGTTCAGTCCACTACGAGGGGAGTCTGGACCCTAGTGTTCTCACTGTGACAGGGCAAGAGACGGGCTATTGAGACTTCCTGAGGACCGGAGTGAAGACGGGGAACTGGGCAAACTCAGAGGCCTGGAGCTGCTGGGATCTGAACCTCTACGTCTGCACGGCCCCTGCCCAGTCTATCTCCTTAACTGCCCCCTGAGACACACACAAGATCCTGTTCCTGCTCCAGCTCCCGCGCCCCCCCCCCCCCCCCCCCCCCCCCCCCACTCTACAGAGGGCTCTGTTTACAGACCCACCAGAGAGGCATTCCAGGCCTCTGACAGCATGACTGCCTGGGGAGACAGATGGACATGTCTTGTGGGAAGTGGGCCAGACGGAGAAGCAGGCTGATGGAAGGGAAGAAGCAGACTCAAGCACAATTAAGCTGTATGACTAATATTTGAAAGGAGAGGAGAGAATGTGGCAGGTTAGGGTGACCACCACCCCAGTTTGCCCAGGATGGGGGCGTTTTCCAGGACAGGAGACTTCGAGAGCTAAAGCTGGGACAGTTCATGCAGATCCAGACAGCTGGTCACCCTGGTCCCCTTGCCTAGGAAGGCTGCTGGTTTACAAGCTAAAGAATGAAGTCCCAACCTTCTCACCTACCTGGGCCCCCCAGAGCAGCCACCTCAGTAAAGAGATGATCCATACTTATGGTCTCCCCGAGTTTTCCATTTGCCCCTGCACATGGAGATGAGCTAGGAGGGAGCAGCTAGAATGGAGAGGGCACGAGGACCTGGGGTTCCACTGAGGGAGGGTCAGCAAAGGAAACCAATGCCCCAAAGGGCAGGTGAATGGCTGACATGGTCCGAGTCCTGTGCCAGTGGAAGGGGGCAGGGGCCAAAGGAAACGAATCAGCACAGATGTGACTCATCGGCAGGGTCCTCCCAGGCCAGGCAGCAGGGCGTCCTGAGAACACCAGCCCCTCCACTTCCCGTGTGACACAGGCAGGCCTCTTGCTCTTTCTGAGACTGCTGTCGTTTATAAAGTGACAGTGTCGTTGTACGGCTTCAATAAGACGCTTTGTGTGAAAACATTTCATAAGTTGGATACTTCATAGAAATAGAACATCTTGGTTTTCTTTAGCATTCTTCTGGGAGACCCTTTGCTCGGCCTTCTGTAGCTACAAACCAAGGCCGAATTGCAGTAGAGGTGGCCTCACTGGGCAGTGCCTCATCCCAGCAAAACCCAGACACACTCCAGCGAGCCCGCAGTGGGAGTGCGGCTCTCGGCAGACACTTCGGACAGTCTCACAACTGTGGCAGGGCCTCCGTGGGAGGGGATCCATGGGGAAAAGCGGATGCTCCCAGGGGGGCACAGCCTTTGGATGGCAGACCACACCAGGTCTCAGGAGCTGGCACCCTTTGGCTTGGGTTCAGGCTGGGGGGTGGCCACGGGCACAGGCCCAGCACGTGTCCTTGGGAAGCAGCAGAAAGGTTGCTGGTGGCTGGGCTGGGAGCGGAGATTTGGCCTGGAGAGTGGCGTTTCCGGGGAAGACTTGGTCCTGGCCACAGGGGTCTGATCCTGGGGGGGTTGGGGGAGGGGGGTGGGTCTGGGACAGCATATATCCTCACCTAGCCTTCCGTGAATTCCCACAGTTCATCAACCCGGAGAGGCTGAGTGAAATGAAGGTGAAAGCAATCCTAGAGGTGGACTTTGGTTCAACAGCTCGAAAGATTCAGGTCCTTCTGGGCAAAATGAGTAGGATTCTGCATTTCCTGACCATCTGTGATTTGGAAAACTTCATAGAGAGCGCCACGAACTTGCTGCTGCACAACAGTCGGAGGAGGAAGAAGTTTTAGGTCCAGACGAGCGCCGTCGCCGCACTGCCCCGGGCTTGCCAGCACCTGCTGGACGTCTCTTGAAGGTTATGGTCAGGAACACCAAGGAAAACCCCAAAGTCTTGTTTTTGTCTCTTGAGAGTTGTTTTGTAATGTGGGGCCTGTCACAGTAGCTTGGCTTGACAGGAAAAGCCTTTGGGGTTCTGACAGACCCCGTGGCGGGGGACAGAAAGGACCCAGGAGCCGGCCCTGGCCCGACAGCGTTAGAGGCAGGCTGTCTCAGGGGCAGGACAGTCCACAGCTGTCCTGCTTGCTCCCACTGGTCATTGCGACCTTCCTGCTCCTGGTTGACTCAGGACCTAGACCGTCTCGAAGGCTAGCTCTGCCAAGTGTTGGCTGTGTGGCAAGTAGCTTTACGCCTCAGTTTCCTCGTCTATGAAATGGGTCTAGAAATAGTAGCTCTCACTAACCCTGACCTCATCTCAAACACCTCCTCTCCCATCCCCACCAGGGCAGAGGGAAACCCAGACAGCAAACCACACCATCCTGCAGCGGGTCCCCCAAACCAGGAGCCAACTAAGCCCAAAAGGACCCACACTAACCCCCCCTCCAATAGCTGGGGCCCTTCTGGTCACTGGTAATAGCTACCAACTGGAGTAGGTAAAGCAAAACAGGAAGCGAATGATCTGGATGGGAGATGCAATGGCTCTCAGAAAGGACAGGAGCATGGAAGGCCGCTAGAAGCCAGGAGGACGTTCATCCTCATCTCTGCGACACTCATCTTGTTCTGAAGACATTTTCTATGCACCTCAGTTCACGTGACTTTGTTTCCTGATCTCTCGCAGAACACCCAGTGGTCTTGGATTGGCTGGCTGATCTGGTGCAATCTAGTGTGATAAGGGAGGGCAGGTTATGTCTCGTAAACATGGTTCCTAGTTGATGCCTGAGCATGGGGAGAGGTGGGAGTTTCTAGAACAGGGGACTCAGGAGCTGGGCAGTGTGCCTTTTAAATCCCTGGGACACAGCAAATTTCCCAGGGTGATCTCAACTGCCGCCTAAACCAAGACGGGAAACCCCTTCTAGCAATTAGCCCTTCCCTGCCATGAGCCGGTGCCTGCCCTCCTGCTCTCACACTGCCTGCCTCCACCTCTCGCCATCACCCCAGGCGCGAAGCTGCGCAGCTGGGCTGGGACTAGGGTGCTGAGGCCATCGGGGCGTTACAGTCTCTCCCACTGTTTGACTCACACTTGTTGGTGAACAGTATCATCAGCTAAAACTACAGTTACTACCACACCTGGCATGGATGCCACTGTAGACGTGGAGCTTTGCAGGCCACGCCCAACATGCCCGTGGGCCTTGTTGGTTGGGCACCTCCACTCAGGAGGTGGAGAAACCCCTTTCCTCGCGGGCACTAGAGACAAAGCTCCTGAGTCGCACTTGGCAATGAGCAGGTCCTTCCAAGCTTGCAGCCGTGACTCCCAGATGTTTCTCCCGGGACTGAAGGCCTCGGACCTGAAGGCGGGTGCGCCCTGGAGTCAGACAGGCCTGGTTGGCCGTCTTGGCAGCACCGTTTGCCAGCTGTGGAGCCTTGGGCAAGGCAGTGAGCTCCACTAGACTGCGTTCCTCACCTGAAATAGGAAGAGTTACAGTGAAGACGAAAGGAGGTGGCGTCGGTAAGGCACTGGGCATGGTGCTCAGTAGATGCGGCTCTTACTGTTTTCAGCCACTTCCTCTCCTCGGTCTTCCTCTTTTCACCAAACCTGAACACAGGCTTCCGTTAGTACAGAGGCTGTCCGCAGGTAGCCTTGCAGAGGCATTTTGTCTCATCAGTCCCGTTTTAAACGATGTTGTTGCCAGCATTTAATAGATGGGAGGTTTCCAGCCGCTCCTGTAATGCCTGCTCTGCGCCAGTGTGTCAGAGCCTGGGCAGGATGAGGAACTCGGGGTTGTTTCCATCAGGAAAAGCGAATCACCTCACAGACTGGGCAGTAAATACTGACAGCAGCCAACCAGCTGGCCAGGCCTATAAAAGCCCGGATCCCACCCGTCAGTCGGCTCAGGCTGCTGGAGCCAAGGGCCACACATGGAGCAGCTGGAACCACAGAGACTGATGGTCTCAGCTCTAGAAGCTGGAAGTCCACAGTGCAGGGCTTCCCTGAGCAGGTGCTGGGGAGGGTGTGTAGCCTGGGCCTTTCTCCAGCTTCGGGTAGCTCCTTGGCTTGTGGCAGCATCACTCCAGTCTTCACAGGAAGTTCTCCCTGTGTGTCTGGGTCAAATGTTCCCTTTTTATGTGGACACCACTCATAATGGGTCAGGGGCCACCCTACTGCAGTCCGGATCCCACCCCACATCAGTCTGCTCCAGTGTGCCTCACCTTCACCAGTAATTACATCTGCAACAGCCCTGTTTCCAAATCAGGTCTGTGGTGCTGGGCATCAGGACTTCAACACATGAATGTGGGGGACACAGTCCAACCCTAACACATGTCTGCCTCACACCCCAGCCCCGCTCAGGCCCTGCACTTCCTGAAGGGACGAGCCCTCTTGCTCATTATCATTTAATCTTCAGTGACTTGGCCGGAAATGGTGCTTCTCCTACAAACAAAAATGGACTCCGTTGGGCTGTTTATCAATACTAACTGTTCAGTGACACACAAGGGTTTCCTGATGAGTATCCTCATCAGTGAATGCCCCAAGGCACATGGAGTCTCGTCCAGTGCCTACAGAAATTACTAATTAATTCAGTAATAATTACACCATGTAATAGGTATGCACTGGGTGCCTACCCTGTGCCGAAGGTCCAAAGAGAACAGGTTGTCTGCCCTCGGGGATTACAGAGTGGGGAATCAGAGACACAAGCAACAGCAAAAGGATGAAAGTATTGCTTTGTGAAGGAGCACAGTGGAAGCAAAGGGGTCACCTGGGGAGGAGGGAGGGGTCGCAGGAAGCCTCTCTGAGCCAGGGCTGAAGAAGGACCAGGAGCGGGGGTGGGGTGCGCTGGGAGTCCCCAGGAGCGGCAAGCGTCTGTGCAGCGACAGTGAGCATGTAGGGCAGACAAAAGGCACCGGATAGGGAGACTGTTGGAGAGTATCTTCTAGCTGCACAACCCCCAGCCCCGTGGTCAGCAAACTGCAGCTTGCGAGCCACATGCGGCTCTTTGGCCCCTTGAGTGTGGCTCTTCCACAAACTACCATGTGCGGGCGCGCACGTACAGCGTGATTGAAACTCCGTGGCCCATGCGCAGAAGTCGGTTTTCGGCCTGGGCGAGTCTATTTTGAAGAAGTACTGTTGATATTTGGCTCTGTTGACTAATGAGTTTGCCGACCACTGCCCCAGCCCCTTCCTTTATGGGGAAAACACTCTTCTGAGTATTTATTTGTAAGCAGCCATGCCCTGCTCGCCAGGAAGAAACTAAAAAGGTCGTATCAGTCAGGGGTCAGTGAGGACCCAGTAATTCCAACATCAGGAATTCCAACAGAGAAAATGTAACAAAGTCTAGCACGCTAATACTAAAAGGGACCTGAATGAAAACTCTAGAAGCCCAAGAACAGCAAATGAAAGGCACAGTATTCTCCCTCCCTCCCTCTCTCCCCATCTCCTCTCTTTAGAATGCACCCAAGAAGGGAACTAAGAACTTACAGGGAGGATGTGACTGCAGCCCTGGCTGGTGGGGAGGTTCGGGGTCAGGGAGCTGGAGCTGGTGCCCAGGGTGCGGCCTCCAGGTTGTGGAAGCTGCTTCACAAAAAGCTTTCCTCCGGGGGCCAGGAAAGCTCGCGGGAGAGTGGGTGCGCCAGACCTCCCGTGCGGTGCTGACATCCCAAAGAGAAGGAAACACACACAACAGAGCCCCGCCCAGGCCTCGCATGCACCTCCAGCACCAGCAAAGCCTAATATTGCACCAGCTGGCAGCGGAGGCATGTTCTCAGGGCCCGGCTCAGAATCTCAAAGCCGGGCAAAAAGGATGGACTGGGAGCTGATAGGAATAAACCAGTAACTAGCACAGAGGTCGTCTTCTCTCTGCTCCAACACTGTATTGAAGCATGGGCTATCACACACACACACACGCACACACACACGCACACGGGTGCCTCACGGGGAGTGATCTTGGCCAAGATGAAAGCAGTTGAGTGATGCCCACCCAATCAGGGACTCACACGGAAGTGATCTGACCAACTCTTTCTGCTTTGAAAAAAAAAGAAATGCATCTGTGATGCTTCCTGTTCTTATCCCTTTGCTCCTCCAGCACCAGTCTGTCCCCAAGCCCCCACTTCCTTCCAGTAAAGCCATTCCTGCTCATTAGACTATCATGTCCTCTGTTGCTTGCACTCAAGAACCCTGACAGACACAGAGGACGAATAGTGAGGGCATGAGGCTGGGTAGATGGGCAGGGGCTGATTGAGACAGCCTCGTGTGCCGTAGGAGAGAAAGTTTTACATTCTGGAGAAAGGGGAGGAAAGATGTTAATAAGACTGGGCTCTTGTAGTAAAGATATTTCAATATTCCAAATAAGGATATTGAAAACGAGGGCCTTGACATGGGCAACGGCATTAGAAATACAGAGAGGGGGAGGAGATAAAGAGCTACATAAGATAGGAAATAGGCAGGACTTGGTAGCAATGGGAAGGGGAGGGGAGGCTACGTGATTTTGGCAACAGAGTGGATTCTTTCATTCATTCACCTACTGCAGGCACTGTCCTAGGGGCCAGGTATACAGCAATAAACAAAACCACGCTCCCCTCCATGCAGTTTATAATCTGGGTTGGGGAAGACAGAAAAAAACACACATAAATAAGCAAAATATCTCATGTGCCATATGAAGACAAGTAAGCCAGGTGAGGGAAATAAAGTCTAGGGATTGGGGGTCCCTACAGTAAGTGTACAGCAGGGTTTGTGCTGGCAAAGTCTTTGTTGTGAGAGGCTGTCCTGTGCATCGTAAGATATTTAGCAGTTCCAGTTAACTTCTACCAACTAGGAACCAGTAATATCCCCGGACACACACCAGTCATGACAACCAAAAACGTCTTCAATCATTGCCAAGTGTCCCAGGGCAGGGGCGAGGGAAGGTCACCCCTTGTTGAGAAGCACTGCTGTAGATCAGCTTGGGGTTTGTTTTATGGTGCAGCATATGTCTCTCTTGGCAAATGTTTCACGTACTTGAAAAGAATGTGTTCTGCTATGTTAGGTATTCTGAATTTCATGAGGAAACACAGGCACATCATTCTATAACTAGGCTACACTTTTTAAAAAATGCCATGAAAACAAGCAAAACCTACAGAGGAGTTGCATAGATTAAAAAGGACTAAAGAGACACAACCACCAAATAAAATCTAAGAGCATGGATAAAAAGCTATAACACATTTTGGGGGACAATTGAAACTAAAATATGGACTCTTAGATATTACTCAGAGGAGTAGTATAGATTAAAAAGGACTAAAGAGACACAACCACCAAATAAAATCTAAGAGCATGGATAAAAAGCTATAACACATTTTGGGGGACAATTGAAACTAAAATATGGACTCTTAGATATTACTCAACTTTTAGGGATAGTGATGGTATTAAAGTTATGTAGGAGAATGTCCTTAGTGTTTGGAGATGCTGATGTATTTTAGGATAAAATGTCTTGTCTTCAACCTACTTTCAGGTCATTTCCATGTGCATGTGTATACACTGATAACTAAAACCCACTTGGTTAAAATGTGTGAAAGAATTCAATCTTGTAAGAAAAGTTTTTTAGAATATACATAGACAAACCCAGATGCTATATGTCAAACATTTCATAGCAATTTGCCTTTCAGGGTTCATTTATTAAAGACTTTCACAGTTTATGTTAAAATTCAAACACTATAGAAGTGTCTAATACTGAACATTTTTAAAATCAGAAATACTTTTAAAAACTATTTCAAAAAAGAAAAAAATATTCATCGGGTCACTATTTAACGGGAGCCACTGTTTCAAGTTCCCAGCAGCTGCCGGGGCTGGCTGCTGAGGGCGAGCAGACAGATGAGCTGGTTAGTGGAAGGAGGCAACGAAGCTAGTGCCTGAGTAGCGTCTCTCACCAGCATCCCAGCTGTCTTTAATGAGCAGACTCTGTGACAAACTACGGTGACACTATTCTTTCTCACTTATAGGGTAGTAAAAGAGGAGAACTTAAAGATATGGAGTTGTTAAACCAGGGGAAAATACAAACTTGTTTTTATTGCTATTTCAATAATGCTAAATTTCAACACAACCATTTGAGCTGACAGTACTCAGGAAATTGGCAGCTTTGTAAACAAAAAAACATTTAAATTCCTTCAACTAATGAAGCATTAAGATGCTTCAGAAATGTCTTTCCACAATATTCATCTTGCCAAAAGAATCCACACAATGCAAGTAAAACTGGGGAAGTCGGAGTAAGATTGGCGGAGCGCACCAATGTCAATATCCTACTTGTGATATAATGTGTTATAGTTTTGCAAGATGTTACCATTGGGGTCTGTCTGTATTATTTCTTACAATTGCACATGAATCCACAAATTAGTGCAATAAAAACTTCAATTTAAAAAAATTTTAAAGAATCCACACACAACAGAAATGTTAGGAAGCAAAAATCTTTATTTTTTAAAAAATTTACATTTCTTAAAAACAGCAATTTCTAGCCAAATAATATAAAGCCTTTTAAATTAATTATTTGAAAGTATGTACACCCTTTGTATAAGTAAATACTTGAAACTGTACAGATTTAAACAAATATTCATTTAGCAAACAAGTTGGACCACTATCACCTACTCAGCACTTTATAAGGTGTTTGTCTCAGAATAAAAGATTCAACACAAGAACAAGTGCTGTGAAATATTTTGATCCAGAACACACACTGCTCTGTACATCAAATTACATCAATCATAGTATAGTACATTAATCATGCCCTTATTTCTTTGGAAAGGCTTTTTAAAAATAAAATATACAACATAATACACAAAACTGGGTTTTTACAGTTTATTTCATTAAACATGTATTTTAAATAGTAAATGGAAGTAAATTCAATCTTCCTATTTCATTCATGTCAAAGAATGAATATGGATCTTCTTTACCTTCCCAAAATACAGCCCTATCGAGCAACATCCATCACTAACTTAAACTGAGTTGAAAAACAAGTGACCTGTTTAAAATGACAGGCATGTAACCTACCTACACACTGTGGGCGCCTGCTTTAAGGGGATGAGAAAGTCTGCTAGTCACGCAGAATGAGGTCTGCTGGCCACATTCCAGAACACCCGTCAGTGCCCTATCTCTAGGCTAGCGTGTGAATGCTCAAAATTCCTTCCAATCCAAAAAGCAGGCTGCATTGACTGTCAGAGGCAAAACCAACCCACTCAGGAAATAGGTATTCGTAGGAAAATTCATAGACGTGCATAATGTATTTGATGATCCCTGATATAGTGTGGTATATGCTAAGGATGGGCCATCTTCATCCTCCTTGTCTTTGTTAGTAAAGTGTATTTGCTACAGGTACAACCACTGAATATAAAGAACTACTAAACCTGAAGGCAGTGTACAGAAGGCTGGTAACCCTGACCTGCATGCATGAGATACGCTATTCATCAGGTTTCCTTCTCTCCTGTGTGTACAGAGTTAACACACCTGATGGTACTTCCCAGGCACAAACACTGGCTGTTGTGCCATGAAAATTCTCACTAGATACTGCACATGAGCAGGCTGCAACCCCTGCAATTCAAGAATAGACACTGGGACCTTCCCTGAGGTCCCTGACTCTTGAAACTAACGCATCAAAAACACAGGAAAAAGGGTGGGAGGAGGTAGAAGAGGGCAAAGGGAGGGCAAAGGGTGGCAGAAAGAGACGTGATTTTGGGTGGTGAGCACGCGATGCAGTGTGCAGATGTTATAGAGTTGTACACTTGAAACCTGTATGATTTTGTTAATCAATGTCAACCCAATAAATTCAATAATAATAATAATAATGATATTTTACCTTCCCAAAATATAGCCCTACTGGTGTGGCTCAGTAGCCCTACTGGTGTGGCCGCACACCAAAGGGTCATGCATTCAATTCCTGGTCAAAGGCATGTACCTGGGTTGCAGATTTGTTTCCCAGCCCCATTTCAGGAGCATGCAGGAGGCAAACCAATAATGTATCTTTCTCATACCAATGTCTGTCTGTCTGTCTGTCTGTCTCTCTCTCTCTTTCTCTCTTCCCCCCCTCCCTTCCACTCTCTCTTAAAAAAAAAAAAATCAATGGAAAAAATATCCTCTGGTGAGGATTAACAAAATAACAATATATTTTTTTAGACACAGGAGATAACACCCTGAATTCCCAGAAAAGCAGCATGTGTTCTCAGAAGCATCCAATTGACTCCAAACTAAATTTCAAAGTGACAGGAGAAACATTATATTGAATGTAAAAACAACATTTCTAGAAGTAAAAATATAATAATAATCACTGTGGAATGCTCAGTGGTTAAAAGTGTTGCAGTGTTTCATGCTTTAAAAATCTTACTCTTAGAAGCTTCCTAATTAGCAGTATTTCCATAAAGTTCTTCTCTGCACTATCTATTGCAACCTATTTTCATTGCACATCTTTTGCTAAGAACCATTTCACTGCGTGCCCACCATGGTTACCTCTTAAAAAATTACACTTCTTGAGACCATTTAAATGAGGCAGGTACTGCTGCTCATAGATTAATCTTTGGTATTTTGATGTTTTTACAAGGGAAACACCAATTTTTTAACCCTCTGCTTGTATTTCATCCTGCAGTCAGCGACAAGTAGCACGCTTGTGTGGTTCTCGGAGACATTGCCACGTACAGTTCCTCAAGTGTCCTGCAGCCACATGACTCTCAGCCGCTCCTGGACAGACCATTTACAAGGACATCCGGACTCGTCTGGTTATTTAGAAACTGATAGTAAGAGGTTCAGCTGAAAAGCAAAGTGAAAGGCAGCATTAGTTCTGCTGAGGAATACCACAGAAAAGTTGTTTAGAGCCTCAAAAACAGAACGAGAGGAAAAGTCTAAGATTTTTAAGAGACCAGGAGACATGGCTGTAAGGTATGAACTGGACCTGCGATGCTGGTCTGACTGCTGAAGCTGCCACTGGGCACTGAGTTTGATGGAAGCCTGTGGGGAGTTACACAACGTCACCTAATCCAGACCCTCAACTCATTCAGAATCCAACGAGGACGACAGAAAAAACTACAGACCAACACTGACAAGGCACAGAAATACATCTAAATAACCAACTCCACCTTTTTCTATGCAGAGTGTGCTTTCAGAAGAGCTGTATGTCAGACAAAGTCTTTAAATGACTCTCAAAAGCATAAGAACAGGCATGACAAGTGAATTTCAGCTCACACGCTCATTCTTACTGAACCCAGGAGCGCCCTGACCACTCTGTACGGGAGGTTGTGAGAAAGCCAGAGAAATCTACATGGCGACCAAGGGGAAATGACAACCTGCACACTGCAAGTTGTCACCCAGGCCCTAGCAAGATTTGCAGTTAAATGAACAGAGCAGTGAACCCTTCTATAAAGTATAAACTATCTTGATAATCATAATAATCATGCATCCCTGGCCAGTATGGCTCAATTGGTTGGAGTGTTGTCCTGTGCATTGAAGGTCGCAGGTTGGATTCCTGGTCTGGACACATACCTAGGTTGCCGGTTTAATCCCCAGTCGGGCGCGTACAGGAGCCAACCAATCCATGTTTCTTTCTCACATTGATGTTTCTCTCTCTCCCTCTTCCTTCCTTTCTCTAAAATCAATATTTTTTTTAAAAAATAACCCCATAACCTCTTTATCAATTTGTACTTCCAGTGCAAGGAACAAAAAATCACCTCTGTCTTTTTCCTGACCAACATATAAAACCTGGATCTAATCATGAGAAAAAAGGACAACTTCAAACTGAGGAACATTCTACAAAACAACTGGCCTATCAAGGCAAAGAAAGCCAAAAAGGCTGCAGAACTGTTCCAGATTAAGAGAAACTCAAGAGCTGTGACAAGCACAGCACCTGGGCTGGATCCCTGAATATAGACTTTGGATTAGATAATAGCATCAATGTTACATTTCCTGTTTTGAGCATTGTGGGAGGGCAGAGTAAGAGAATTCCTCATTCTTAGGAAATACACTGAAATATTTCCAAATAAAGGAGCAGAGTGTCTCCCAACTTCCTCTCAAATGTCTTAAAAAGAGGGGCAAGGAGGGAGAGGAAAGGAGAAAGCAACAATGATAAAGCAAACGGGGCAAACTAAACAGCTGAGTAAAGTTCCTTATTACCATTCTTGCATTTTTCTGTAGGTTTGAAATTATAAAATAAAGTTGCAAAAATATTTGTACAGATGCTCCTCGACTTACAATGGGGTTATGTCCTGATAAACCCACTGTAAGTTGGAACTATCTTTAAGTTGAAAATGCATTTGATTAGCCTAATCTACCAAACATCATAGCTTAGCCTCGCCTAACTTCAACGTGCTCAGAACACTTCCATTAGCCCACGGCTGGGCAAACGCATTTAATACAATGACCACAGTAGAATATCTGTTATTTACACTCGTGATCTGGGAGCTGTGGCTCTCTGCCCCTGACCAGCAGCATGAGAAAGTATTGTGGCACATATCACTAGCCCAGGAAAAGATGAAATTCAAAATTCCCAGTACAGTTTTTACTGAATGCATATCACTTTCACACCATCGTAAAGTCAAAAAATATTAAGTGGAACTATCATAAGTCAATGCACTGCCATACATTGGGTCTTAAGAAAATGGGTCATCGGAAGGAGACTTGTCTTGGGGTGGTGAACACACAGTACAATATACAGTTGATGTATTATAGAATTGCATCCCTGAAACCTATAGAATTTTATTAACCAATGTCACCCCAATAAATTCAATTATTTTTAAAAAGGAAATGGGTCACAAAAATTCAATTTCCAGGGAAATTTAAAATGAGCGAGAAAGTGAGAGTAAACCAGATGGTTCCCTCCAGGAACAATGCAGAGCATGGAAATACAAGATTCTGGTTTCCACCAGGCAGCTCTTGGCCAAGTGACTTAACCTCTCAAGGCCACAGCTTCTTCATAAGTAAAATGGGGTAAATATAGGAAGGTCAAGTGAAGATTAAATAAGATGATACATGTCAAATGCTTAGAACAGCACTTGGCAGCAGGCAATAATACTAGCTATTATCTAGAAAATGTTAACAGTTCTGAAAGAGAATCAAGGCACAGAAAAAATGAGGGTCTCTATTAATGTTTTTCAAACTGTAGGTTTCAACCCACTGGGAAATCATGAAAATAATTTAGTGACTCAAAAGAATAAGGAACAGAAAGACGCAAAGCAAAGCAACTGAGCTGCACATACTGTAAACCTTTGTAAGTTACAGATATACACACATACACTAAAGCATGCATCTCGCTGGCAGGAGTCACATGGAAGCTCAGGAACTCTGTTCTTAATAAGTCCTGCCCCGCTACTGCCCATTCACAATCACGCAACTGACTATGACTGGAGGAAAAAAATTTAGACAACTATGTTGAATGGTTTCTCTTGGATTTGCAACCACTGAACTCAACTGAGCCTTCCTCCTCATAGCTTTAGCACCTCCTCACTCTCAGTGGTGACCTTCCTTCCTGTTTCACTCACACACGTGAAGCAGAGGACAGCTTCCATGAGCTCCCAACACCTCCACTACTCCCGCACATGTGCCCCACTCAGCCTTCTCTCCTTTTCCACAGACAGAACTCCATGCACCTAACAAAGGCTCCACCTTCCAACAGCTCCTGAGATTCCATCCCCCTTCTCTACTCAAGGACATTTTCCAGCATAACTTTTTCCCTCTCTTTGGACCTTCCTCATGAACATATAAACATGCATTTCCCCCATTTTTTCAAAATAAAAAAGGTTAATAACAATAACAAATAAAAGGTTACCTATAGTTCAATAACAAAAATAGTTATCTACAGGGGGGAAAGGAAAAGGCTGTAGGGTTCTGGAATGGGAAACAAGACATCTCCAGATTTACCTTGTCTATAATTCTGACTTGGAAACCATGTAAATATTTTATCTAATTAAAAAACAAAATTAAATCAAAATGGGGGGAAATATATCTAAATATTAAAATCAAGTCTAACTAAATTATAGTTAACTAGAGGCCCGGTGCACAAAAATTTGTGCACCCGGGGGGGGCCTCAGCACGGCCTGTGCCCTCTCGCAGTCTGGGACCCCTCAGTGGATAACCACCTGCTGGCTTAGGCCCGCTCCCCAGGGGTTTGGGCCTAAGCTGGCAGTCAGACATCCCTCTGGCAGCCCAGGAGCCCTCAGGGGATGCCCACTTGCCAGCGGGGAGCAGGCTTAAGCTGCAGTCGGACATCCTTAGCGCTGCTGAGGAGGCGGGAGAGGCTCCCACCACCAAAGCTGTACTGGCAGCCGTCAGCCTGGCCTGTGACTGAGCAGAGCTCCCCCTGTGGGAGTGCACTGACCACCAGGGGGCAGCTCATGCATTGAGCGTCTGCCCCCTGGTGGTGAGTGTGTGTCATAGTGACCAGTCATTCCCAGTCGTTCTGCTGTTAGGGTCAATTTGCATATTACCCTTTTATTATATAGGATAGCCAAGATATAGAAGCAATTTAAGTGCCCAGCAATAGATGATTAGATAAAGATGTGGTACAAATACACAATGGAACATTACTTGGCCATAAAAAAGAATGACATTTTACCATTTGTGACAACATGGGTGGACCTAAAGGATATTATACTAAATGAAATAAGTCACATAAAGACAAATATCACATGATTTCACTTACATATGGAATTGAAAGAAATAAATGAACAAACAAAACAGAAACAGACTCATAGATACAGAGAATAAAGTGATGGTTGCCAAATGGGAGGGGATTTGGGGGGGAGGGCAGGTGAAAAAGGTGAAGTGATAAAGAAGTACAAATTGATAGTTACAAAATAAGGTGAGGGGCTGATGGCTGTTTTCAGGCTGGCCAAGCCCCCCAGCAGGGACCCTCACCCCATGAGGGTGTGGCCGGCCTGGGTGAGGGGCTGATGGCTATTTGCAGGCTGTCCACGGCCCCCAGCCACTCAAGCTCCCAGTGGAGGCTGGCTGGAAGCAGGTATCTGGGATTTATTTATCTTCTATAATTGAAACTTTGTTGCCTTCAGCAGAGGCCAGAGCCGGCCAGCACAGGTGGGAAGCTTGGCTTCCTCCATTGCTCACGCAACCAAGCCTCCTGCTTGCTCCAGCTCCATGGCTGCCGGCCGCCATCTTGGTTGGGTTAATTTGCATATAGTTGCTCTGATTGGCTGGTGGGCGTGGTTTGGGGCATAGCAAAGGTATGGTCAATTTGCATGTTTCTCTTTTATTAGATAGTATAATCACAGAATATAATTACTTCAAATAACTTATAAAAAGTCTATTAATGTACAACCCTAGAATTACAGAGATAGCTTTTTAAAATATGATCCATTTTAACCATACAGAGGAATATATACAGCCATGAAAAAGAATGAAGTTCTGATGTATGCTACAACATGGATAAGCTTTGGAAACATGCTAAGAGAAAAAGATCAGTCATAAAAGGCCAGAGTAGACAAGTCCATAGAGACAAAAAGATTAGTAGAAGAGTAGAGAATGGGGACTCTGCTAATGGGTATGGGATTTCTTGGGGGGGAGAGGGGGTTGGGGAGGGCATGAAAATGTTCTGGAATTAGCCCTAGCTGGTTTGGCTCAGTAGATAGAGTGTAGACCTCCAGACGGAAGGGTCCTGGGTTTGATTCCAGTCAAGGGCACATACCCAGATTGTGGGCTCGATCTCCAGTTAGGGGGCATGTAGGAGGCAGCCAATCAAAGATTCTCATATTGATGTTTCTCTCTCACTTTCCCCCTCTCTCTTCCTCTCTGAAATCAATAAAAATACATTTTTTTAAAAAGGAAGGGAGGGGGAGAGAGGGAGGAAGGGAATGTTCTGAAATTAGGTAGTGGTAAAGGTTGTATAATTTAATGACTACATGAAAAACCAATAAACTGTCCACATTAACGGATGAATTTTATGGTATATGATTTATATCTCAATAAAAAATGACCCATTTCTCCTCCAACTACCACCCCATCTTTTCTCTCTCCATATAAAAAAATCCCTCAAAAGATTTACCCACACTCTCTACCTCTAGTCTCTCTCCTCTCAGTCTCCATCCACTCCAATTAGGTTCTCACCAACCTTACCGCTTTCTCCCAAATTCTCTAGTTCTTACTATACTAAAATATTAAACTATACTAAACTTAAAATACCTATAGAATCAGCCTACTCCTAATACATAATAGGTTAAAAAGTTGCTGACTGAACCAAATGAATCACAAACTAAGTTCTATATTCAGTTTTCTAAAAACAAATACTTCTAACATCTTCTCTCTAAAATAATTTTCTTTTTCATTTGAAATGTGGGCCTCTTTTCATGACATTGCAAACAAAATTATTCAGCAACCTAAATACCACTATTTGAATCTTTCACAAACAGTTCATCTTAAACACAGCAACTTTCAATATTAGAAAGAATTAAAAAGCCATTGAAAATTCTAAAACTGAAAGGGGGCAGAAATAGAATGTTGGGGAACCAGGTAGTATTGTAATAAATATTAATCATGCTCTGTTAACTGTGACTGTTTTGTTCTGATTAAAGAAGGCACATTCTAACTTGGCTGGCAGCTGCACACAGAACCTGGGAGCTCACCTGGAAATGCAGTCGTTGTCACCCCCCCCACCCCCACCACCCCCGTTTTGGAGCTGCCCATTATCATGGAAAGATTAACAACTTTGTTGCAGAAACCAGAGCCAGAAACCAAAATCACCAGCCCTTTGAAGATCCCCAGATCTTTTTGCATACCTGCAGGCCTTTGGAAATCTCCAGCCTACTTACCCGTTAACTGCCCATTTGGCCCACCCTTTGGCTATTTCCCCATGTAACCCCAGCCCTTGCATATTGCTAAGCCCTTTGAAGAGCCCCAGTCCTTTTGCATATCTGTAAACTGCCCATTTACCCTTTTGCCTACTTTCCTTTATACTTCTACCAATATAAGCAGCTGGCTTATGGTGGGCTGCAGAGCTGATTTTTGTGGATGACCTGTTACTCTCCCATGCTGCCAGCAATACTGGAATAAATGCTATATATGACTCAACCCTGTCTCTGCTTAATTGGCTCGAGTAGTGACAGGCAGCACGGACCCATTGTTTGTCCAGTTACAAGACCATCATCAAAAATTTGACAAAGTATGAACCTCTTACTCATCAGAATAAAATATTGTACAGTATTTACTCAAACAATTAAATAACAAGAATCTTCCGACTATGGATTACCTGTTCCATAGTAGGACAAGCAATGATGTGGATATCTTCAGGACTGAACTCTTCCTTTAACAAAACATGGAGCTTCTGGAAGACTTGTTGAACATTATTCTTAGAAAGAGAAAAGGCAATCATATTAAGTGAGTCGCTAAAAACATCTACAGCCATCTTAAACATGAAGCACTAAGAATATTAAATGGTAATTAATTGCCAAAATGAGTGGAGGAAATGTATCTTTCATGGGATTATCAAAGACATAGTTTGCACTTAATATTTCACATGCTAGCACAACCCAAGTAAGACTTATCATAGAATGCTTCCTGGAAAAACAAAACCATAGCAAGTCCTGTCCCCCAGAGAACCTTCAGCAGCAATTTCTTAACAAAAGACAATCAAGTTCCCAGACACAAACTGTACTTTAAAATCCAACCAACACCTTGGGTAAGGATGTGAGCCCAAAGTAGAGCTGGAGTTATGAGTTCTAAATTTGCTCTGACATTTAATCCCTTAGTGGCTGCTACAAGCCATTTATTTCCATTACTCACCAGTAACACAGGTATAATCCCTTAAAGGCTGCTCTTTCAAGTGTTGGGCCACACATCCAATGCGAAGTTCTAATTATTTATTTATGTATTTATTTACTAATTTCTACTTTTAGGGAGAAAGTACTTCAGTGACAAAGTGAGGATGGGGGAAGGGGGAGAGGTATAATCAGAAAAATGCTGCTTATAAACCTTTCAAGAATCACAGTGATTATTACTTAACTTTACCAGAATAGTATGCCAACAGGAAGAGTTATACTATTTTTAAGTATCTACAGGAAGAGGAAAATGGTAGACAGGGCCAGAACACTTGAAGAGACTGGCCAACATTCAAATAAATTATCATGATACTCACCCTAACAGGTTTAAACAAGATGAACTCGGTATCTTTATTGGATAGGTACAATGACATACTTCTCAAGGTCAGAGGCAGCTTTGCTTTTATGGTCTTGTAGACACTTGCCACAAGGTCACTAACCTTTGCTGGAAAGAAATTAACCTCATTTGTGTCACGAAGAAAAAGAGAAGAAACATTTCCATTTTAATTCAGAGGGGAATAAAGGGAGGGAAAAATAACAAAACAAAAAAAGACTATTTCTCCAAAGAATTCTTTCCCTTTTCTTGTTTATTTATCAAGTTTAATCACAAACTCTATAAACATTAATAATCTTCTAAATACAAAATGCTAATCCCCAGGGCTAAGGTAGCAAAAAGAATTCCTTGGCATGCTTCAGGACATTTACTGGGGCTGTAATGTGGTTGGTGCCTTTGGAATTTGGAGATTAAGTGCTAAGGAAAATGAGTTTATTCATTTGCAGAACTGACTCACAGTAAGAGATGCTCTCTGCCTTACAAGATCACTCAAAAAATATCCACATACATTGAATGGGAACTAAAAATTCATTTGTTACATTCTTATACTGTATTATCAAAAAGGGAATAGAATTCCAGAAAATTCTAACTGAAATAATTATGTAGCCAAAGTGTAGTGTCTGAAAAAAAGTTAAAATGGAAGAGTAGCAATCTGTACAAAAGTATTTAAAAGAGGAAATTAACCTAGAAAGCTACAAAGGAAAAGACTGATTAATAATTTCAAAGATGCTCAACTTCATTCATAACTAAAGAAATGCATATTAAGATATTTTCAGATTAGCAAAAATTAAGATTGTGAATATCCACATTTGACAGGGGTATGGGGAAACAGACACCTTCATCCACTGATGATGGGAGTACAAATTGGTTCGACCTCTTTGGAGGGATATTGAGCAATGTCTAGCAAAATAAACAATACACATACTCTCTCACTTAACCTTTCCACTGCTAGAAATTTACCTTGAAGGTACTCACAAAATAAAATATGTGTGTACAGGGACATTTCTTAAAGACTGTATGGAAAAACAAAAATACTAAAGATAACTTAAGTACCATTAATAAAAGTATTAAAAATAATTGTGCTACAGGGATATATTCTGTGCATCCATTAATCTGAATGGATGGAGCTGGACAGGATGGTACAGAAAGGACCCAAGCTACAGAGTAAGTTAAATATGCAAAGAATAAACATAATCTTATTTATGCAACATGTTTTAAGTTCATATAAGTTAGTATATACATAAATAATATGGGGAGGCCCAGCTGGCATGGCTCAGTGGTTGAGCGTCAACCTATGAACCAGGAGGTCATGGTTCGATGCCCGATCAGGGCACATGCCCAGGTTGCAGGCTCAATCCCCAGTATGAGGCATGCAGGAGGCAGCCAATCAATGATTCTCTTATCATTGACTAGAGGCCCAGTGCACAAAATTCGTATACAGATAGGGTCCTTAGGCCTGGCGGCTATCAGGGCCAATCTGTGGGCAACCGGCGGGGCGATCAGGGACGGGGGGGCCCCCGCTGGCACCCACCTTGGCCAGCCTGGCGCTGCCTACTTGCCTGCCCTTCCCCCACTGGCACCCATCTTGGCTGGCCTGGGTCTGTAGGCTGGGGGCAGATCCTGCGTTGAGTGCCTGCCCCCTGGTGGTCAGTGCGTGTCAGAGCAACCGGTTGTTCTGCCATTCAGTCAATTTGCATATTAGGCTTTTATTATATAGGACTAGAGGCCCAGTGCACAAAAATTTGTGCACTCGGCGGGGGGTTCCCCAGCCCGGCCTGTGCCCTCTCGCAGTCTGGGACCCCTCGGGAGATAACAACCTGCTGGCTTAGGCCTGCTCCTGGGTGGCAGAGGGCACGCCCAATCCCTAGGTGCAGCCCCTGGTCAGGCTCAGAGCAGGGCCGATTGGGGAGTTGGGGTGCCGCCCCGTCATGCACAGAGCAGGGCAGATCAGGAGGTTGCGATGCCACCCTCAGTCACGCTCAGGGTAGGGCCGATTGGGGGGTTGGGGCACCGCCCCCTGTCACACTCAAGGCAGGGTCGATGGAGAGGTTGCAGTGCCACCCCCTGTCACGCACAGAGCAGGGCCGATCAGGGGGTTGGGGCGCTGCCCCCGTCACTCACAGAGCAGGGCCAATCAGGGGGTTGGGGCTCCGTAGTCTGTCACACACAGAGCAGGGTCAATCAGGGGGTTGGGGAGCTCCCCCCTGTCACGCACAGAGCAGGGCCCATCAGAGGTGGAGAACAGAATTATTTTTCATTTTATACTTTCTCACAATTCAAATTTTATATCACGCTAAAATAACTTTTTTTTAAATTGAGGACACGGTTGTGGTAGAGCAGAATAGGAAAGTGCCAATCCTCTCAAGGAGAACAAATAATCCAGAAAGTGGTTATTTTTCATAAAATACATGAAAGCTCCTTTAAGACCATTAATTCCACAGGCTCTGGTTCTGTCATTACTAACACACTTCAAGGTTCATTAAGACAGTTTTCAGAGCCCTTGATCACCAAAAGGTGTGTTTGGAGCCTAGTAAATAAAGTACAGTAATCCTCCCTTATCTGAGGTTTCACTTTCCACATTTCAGTTACTCTCAGTCCACCATGGTCCAAAAATATTAAATGAAAAATTCCAGAAATAAATAATTCATAAGTTTTAAATTGCACACCATTTTGAGTAGGGTGATGAACTCTCGCCATCCTAGCCAGGACATGAATCATCCCTTTGTCCAATGTAAAGGGTGTCCCAAAATTCACGCAAGAAGTAATTTTGATAGAAAACACAGGTTTATAATTAAAAATTGTAAATTTTTTATTGATTCATAAAGTATACAGTATAGGATTATGTATGGA